ACCACGTCCTAAACCACCACGGTTTCTTCATTTTTATTGCTGTCTGTTGTTTGGGTTCCTGCTTACTCCCCAGATTCCTTCAATGGTTTCTGAAAATGTTTTTCGAGTACGCAACTGGATGGCAATTTTTTCTATGCAACTTTCAACAAGATTTTCTCATTTATCTGTTATGGTTTTTCTGCGTCTTCTTGTAGAATCTTTATTTCTTACTTCACATGCTTTCACTGGATCTGTTTCTATCGTTTTTTAGCAAACTATCCAGTTGCTCTCACATTTTTGCAATAATTTTGTTTCCTGTGTCTGAAAAGTGCAATGTAAAAAAAATTGCAATGCGAACAGGCACTTTCTACAAAAATGTCCACAGTAAACAAACTGAAATCGAACTGCCAAGCAAGAGCAGAGTTCTTGCTTGGCAAGTTCTTCTTCAAGGTTAATAAGTAGAAAATGGAGGATAGGGCGCCAGCTTGCAGAAAGCTATAAAAAAATTGACTTTCGAGGCCATTCCTTGAAACTAATGGTTTTTTAGGATGTCGTTCGGTAGAATTTCTTCCTGACGTTTCGCAAGCACGAGTGGCTTGCATCTTCAGAAGTTGTTTGCTTGAACGCTTACACTGTTCTCATCAGAACCCGCGTTCAGTTCTGCGGAAGAACTGATGAAAGAATGCTACCGAACGACGGCCTAAAAACCCGAAAAACCCATTAGTTTCAAAGAATGGCCTCGAAATTCTATGTCTTTTGAGTTTAACTTGTTGTTTGGCCAACGTTCGGTTTCTAGCTCGAACAATCACTGTGTGATATGGAGTGGAGAAAACCTGGTGGCAAACTAATAAACATCCTGTTTCGTTTTCGAGAAAAAATCAACGTGATTGATTGAATAATTGATTAATTTCGGCGGCGATTTGGGCGATGACAACATCGGGCCGCGTTTATTTCGTTCTTCTTAATTGAAGTTTCCTTTTTTGGGGTCGAGTTTAATTAGAGAAATGCGATTAGAAAATGGGCGTCAACTAATAACCGGATGAACGCAGCACTAATAATGCTAGTGATGAAATCTGCAGCTTATTTAAACTTCAATTACAAAAACCGTGTTTTTTACCGGTTTTGTACTCTACGATCTTGCAAAACCGATACCAAGATATTTTTGTTTTCAATTGCCAAACGCCTTGTCGAATGACATGAATTGGGCTGATGAAAACTCCCATCATCATCCGATATTCGATGGGGATTTTAACTGAAAAGATATTGTAATTCATCCGGATCACCATTTCATGCTCGCTGAATCATACGTAATTGCTCAACGGCACGAAATTGTTGGGTAACTTAGACCAAATGAACTATTTGCTGCTCAGAACTTCAATTAGTTTGGAGTTTCCTGCTGCTAATCTGCTTCGTTTATTAGAATTTTCAATGTTTGCTTTGTACGGGCACAGCAGCAGTTAGAACCGCTAAAACACGATAAACTAAACAGAATTCGGAGAGCTTTAAAAAATAAATAAGCTCGATTTATCGTTGGCGATCCAATAAAAATATACAGGGTGGCTCACGATTAAACTAATTATATGGAAAATGGGGTAATTGATGATTCTGAGAATGTGGATGTTTGTACTCACAATAAATCCAAAAAAAAAATATTCTGTTAAAAGCAGCGTTTGGCTGATGCCAAAAAGAAAGCCAAATTTATAAGGAGTTTTATGCAGAAGATGATAAATTCAGAACTTATAGCTCCTTCGGCAGCTTCTAATTCGGATGTTTGGACTGTGAAATGCCTCCAAAAGATTTTGTTTGAAAAAATTCGCCGCCTCTAAACCAGCACAGGTAGACTCTTGAAATTTTTCCCATGAATAGAAGACATATTGGGCTCTAACTGGTAAAAATTTGAAGCAAATGGAACAACCGGTTGATTTTTCAGAAAATTTCAAACCTGATGCTGCATAACGTAAAATGCATAGAACAAATCGCTTGAAAATTACCAATTTTC